ATAGCTATAGCCCACTGGTGATTGGCAGCTTCATCACGACGACATGTCCACTCATGCATAACTTCTTGTGCAGGGGTTTTTGGTAAAACATCAAATCCTCAGATGACTCAACCCTCCTACAGCCCAGATTTGGCTTCCTGCGACTTTGGGCTTTTCTCAAAACTAAAATCACCTTTGAAAGGGCAGATATTTCAGACCGTCAATGAAATCCAGGAAAATATGATGCAGCAGCTGATGGTGATTGGGAGAACTGTGTGAGGTCCCAAGGTGCCTGAGGTATCACTGTCCTAGGTACATTGTTTCTTGTATCTCATATCTTCTTCAGTAAATATCTCTATTTTTCATATTACATGGCTGAATACCTTCTGGACAGATTTCATACTTCAAGCCTCAGTTTTGTTACTCAGAAAATAATAGCATATACATCGTAGAGTTATGAGGACTAAAATGAAATTTTGCATGTAAAATACTTCTGAGCACAAAGCGTCCAGTAAATATTAGTTAATGTTAGTCATCATCATTACTATCCTTATTAGCAGCTTTCAGCCTGAAGTTGACTGGAACTATTAATTAGTAAGTATTTATGAAGTACCTGATCTCTAGTATTGATCTCTAGTATTGGACTTTAGACCTATGGAAGGAGCTACTGATGTGAATGACAGGTTGGTACTTAAAGGTGGAGCAAAGAGAACTAATGTTAATCGAGTTCTTACCACTGTGTTCAGTAGTAAGGTAGCTATTATTCCCACTTTATCAATGAGGTAGTGGAGGCTTGGTAATGTTAAGTAACTTGTTCAAGATAATGGGACTGTTGTTGAATCCCACTTCTGCCATTTAGCTGTGTGGTCAGAGTAATTTGTTAAACCTTACAGGGGTAGAACTGTCAGCTCAAACAAATTAATGTTAATTTGCTTTTAATTTGTAAATATTGACATGCTCTTCAGTGTCAAAATACAGAGATATCTATTCTACTTATTCTTACTACTGTCCCTTTTTGAGTTCTCTATAAATCTCTCCCACCTTCAATAATTCCTTCAGCTTTAAGATTCTGTCTTCCAACTTAGAAAATATTAATTTCATTGAGAGTTGGATTGAAAATAAATGGTTAAAAGTAAGGGTAGTGTTGGATGTGATAGTGTTGAGATGGGAAGAACTGGCTTATGGGAATTAACCTAGGTGTCACGGTGGGGCCTAATCTATTCTTCAGGGTCTCAAAGAGGAAATAAATAAGGCTTTTGAATTTTACAAATGTTAGATCAAATTGGATGGGTAATTATAAGGGTTGTATGCTCAGAGTTTTTCCTTGGGGCTCAGTTATTTACTTGTTAAACCATCCTGTCTTGCTCTAGAAATTGATTGAACTTCAGATATGAGTAAGAGGATTGGAGAAAACAAATATGAATTCTTGGATGTTTATTGGGAAAGAAAAGACCTCAGGGTAATACTATGAATTATCAACACAATACCCCTCATATAATATATCATTCACATTCTAATCAAAAAGCTCTAAATTTGCATGTAATTCTCAGGCTATTTAAAAGAAATTAACAATTGAATTCCTGTTTTCTAAGACCAAAAAAGTGTATAGCTACTTTCATACATCATTAATGGGATTGTACAAGGCTATAGTTTATTTGGAGATAAAAATAGGCCTTATATAAAATTTAAAAATGTACATGCCCTTTTAGCACAACTGTTTTACTTCTAGGAATTTATCCTTTATATGTGTTTATGCACAAGGATATTTACTGCAGCATTGTTTCTGGTAACAAATGACTAGAAACCACCTAAATGTTTATCAGTCTGTGATTGGTTAAAATATATCTGTATAAGGAAATACTATTCATTCTTTAAAAAGAATAAAGTAGATACTTCCACCTTAATATAAAATAATCTCCTGGGTATATTAAGTGAAAAACAGTACTTGGTATATTTAGTATGCAACAATTGTGTAAAAACTGAAGCAGGCACAAGCATTCATATGCTTTTGTAGACATAGACTCTGGAAGGATACATAAGATATTTCTCCTGAGATTTCCCTAATCCATGGATTTCCTCTGAGATGGGTAGGTGGAAGGGCAGCATACTTTCTGTTATCAAAATGTTTTTGAATATTCGTATCAAATATCTTAAAGTGCCATGTGAATCATACGTATTTGGCTGTACATTGTTGCAGAGAATATCTACATGAGGACTAGAACCTTGTTGTGAGAGCTTGCATTTATTGATGAGGACTTAAGTGTTCATGCTTTGGTGTTGTGCTTTTCAGTTTAAGGACTCTGACAGTTGTTTTTTTGACCTAGAAATCAGGAGCACTATTGAACACCCCTTTTAGGGTAGGGTGGATACTGGTAGAAGTTTTACATTGCAGTTGAAGAAATAGCTAAATATAGTTTTAAAAAAGAGAATATTAAAAAAATTCATAGAGTATTGAAATGGTTAGGTTATTCTCCCTATATGAAACAGAAGAACCAGAAAACAGAATTTGATGGAGAACTTGAAAGCATTTTGGAAGTATGAATATACATGGAAATGAGGAACAAGAAGGGAGTCGAAAGTCCACAGGGAACTAAAACCATTTTATAAACATTATCTCATCTCTAAATTGTACCCTTTTGTAAAAAGTTATTTTCCAGACTTTCAAAACCAAAGAAATTGATGCCCAGATGGCATTTTGTGGTTTCCTATGTAACGTAAGAAAATAGCAAAATGAGGACTAGAACCTTGTTTTCTTGATTTTCATTCTAGCCCTACGATTATTCTGAGATCAGCTGAATTTTGATATGGGTATAGCAACAAAAAAACAAAACAAACATTTTTTAAAAATTCTGTTTTGAACTTGATGTGCAAAAGCATTTGTTTCTAAAGGTTTTGTTTTTCTGTATTCACTCTCAGGAGGGGAAGGTCAGAATGGACATTGAAAGCTTCGGACATTGTATTACCATTTGTTTTTACTGAGTCATTCTGGTTCAGGAAAAGGAAGGATAATGAAAATATTAACTTTTGCACAGCATTTTATATTTTCAAAAGCTTGTTTCATGAATATTATTTTCTCATTTGTAGTTGTTCTGTGATACAGGTAGTGGTGATGTTTTGTTATCAATATTTTCATTAGGTTTTTACTGTTAAAGAAGAAAAATAGGGTCAAGAAAGTTGGGTAATCTGCTTGAGATCAAAGTGTCAAAGCTGGCCTTGACAAATTTGAACTCAAATTTAGTTTTTTCTTTTTACCCAACCATAAAGTCTTATGAGGTAGATTTATTTAGGTGGGAATGGAAACCAATTCTAGGTGGGACCTTAATTGGGAAAACATTTGGAAGCCTAAAACTTCAGGGCAGAGTGGTTCAATAAGTAGATGGTTTTGCGGGGGCAGGTGAGGCCGATGTCATTGTAGTTCTGTACTCTGCCAGCTCTTTTCAGAGCAACTTGTCCCATCTTCCATTGCTGCGTTGTCTGACCTGTGGGCCAATAAAGGGACTGTACTTAATTTACATCCTGTCTGAAGATGTGCATCGGATTAGTTAAGAGAGCTATTTTTTTGTAATTAATCACACATAAATTAGTGAAATGTCATTTTGTAAAAAAATGTTGGCAAAATTTGTTTCTTATGCTAAATTTTTCCAAGGGTAAAAAAGCAGGACAATGAATAAGCCTCAACTCTGTGATCGTAGTGATCCTTTCTATGCTGGGAGAGAATTTTGATGTTTAATATGGTATCTGATTAAAATGAGGAAGAGTTTCCACACAGTCATGGTCCAGAGCCTGATGCTGTCTAATATTTGACTTTTGGATTTACTCTTAGTACACTGGAAAACCAGTGAGTTGTTCTAAGGAGAGGAGTAACATCATTTGATCAGTGTTTTGAAAGAGACATCTTGGCTGTTAGAGTTGAAGAGCATCAATTTTACTCTCTCTCTTATTAAATTGTTGTTCAAGTACAGTTTTCTGCCATTTACTCCCATCACTGAGCAGAGATTCACTTTTAAATGAGAATAACTTACAGGAAAAAATATCTGTTATTAATTAGTTATTTAGGTTGACTGGTAGATACTTATTTTGTCTCAGGTCCTCAAAACTTTGTAAAAGCTCCTTAAGTGATTATAATATGCAGCCAGGGTTGAGAACTACCACTTTATCTTGGGGAACAAGGGAGAGATCTTGGGGTTAAGTTTGAGAGAAGGTAGTAAGTGAGAAGCTGTGGAAGCTTAGAAAGTTTAACTGTTGTTTTTCTGCCCTTTTCAGAATTCCACTTTCATATTCATATGTCCATATGCCTAAATGTTTTGATGATATGAATTTTTGCATTAAACTTTATGAAATTCTAACCAAGACTCTTAATTCATTCCTTCCTTTCTGTTCCTTTTTGTATGAAGAGAGAAAGGGCATATTAAGAAGGGATGACTATGATATACAATTTGATAAGAATTTGCCCGCATTAACGAAGCATCTAGCTCTTAAAAACTGTAAAAATTATTTCTAAGACTAGTTTCATTTGATCCACTTAAAAATACATATGAAACTTAAGCAAAGCAATTATGTTAATGTCTAGCTACTTATCTTGCATACCTAGAATTCTGGATTAGGATTGCCGATGCTTCCTATAATGGGTAGAAGAACACATAGATTTTCTTTCTTGCTCTTACCATGTTTTATTGATATAGAATTATATCTTTATGCTTTGTGTATGAAGGAAACAAATTATTTGTATGAGAGACTTAGATTAGGGGTGAAAAGGAATAAAATAGCTAGGTTATGAAAGAAGTAATTGCTTTTATAGACTACAACCTGTAGGAGAAGGTTTGTAGGAGTTTTGGGTATCAAACACAGTTATAGCAATTACATTGCTGGGATGTAATGTTGCCTGTACAATTTAGGGCTGTTTACTGGTGGACATTTAGGATCACCTGTGTGTTATTTTATCCAGTGATATAGTGTAGTTGAGTCTGTTGAAAGTTATGCCTTAAATACTGAAATTCCTGCTTTTTTTTGTTTGTTCATAGTGGTAGTCGCTCCTCTAAAACATTCAAACCAAAGAAGAACATACCAGAGGGTTCTCACCAGTATGAGCTCTTAAAGCATGCAGAAGCCACACTTGGCAGTGGCAATCTCCGGATGGCCGTGATGCTTCCTGAGGGAGAAGATCTAAATGAGTGGGTTGCAGTGAACAGTAAGTAGTCTTTCTGTTTCTCAGCAGACTTTAAGTTAGGTTAGTAGCCTCACTGTAGGTGAGTTTTGGTGTGCTGTCTATTCTAGGGTCTAGTTAGCAACCTAACATCACAATGTAGTGATACCTCAGCCCACTTTAGCCTTTGTGTTATTTTATTTCTGAATGAGTTTTGTGAAATTCTTGTGTCCTGTTACAGTGACATATGAAGCATAGATTTACCATCTTCAGTTGCAAAAAAATGATAACAGCAATAGATCATTATGGAACACTAATTATGTGTCTGGCACTCCACTCTCCTTTCTACATGGATTATTTTATTTTATATTTACAACCTCATGATGTAGGTACTATTATTATCCCATTTTAAGGCAGATAAGGAAGCTGAGACAGAGAGATTAGTAATTGCCTAGGTCATGCGCACTATTAAGTGCCAGAGCCTGGGATCTGTTACAGCTATAGAATTTTAGAGACTGCACTTTAACCACTATGATAAATTGCCTCTTTCAGTAGCATATTCAGTTATGCTAAATTATGCTATTTTTTAAAAAAGAGACAATTCGCTAGTGATTTATGAAAGTATAAAAATATGTTTATGAGATATTCTTAGCAACAAAGAAGAAAAACATATAACTAAAAAGTAAATATATTCTTGGGAATTAAGCCATAGAAAGTTGGGGAATAAAAGTGGTACTTTTAATATTCAGGGTTTTTTAGCATTAGTGAAGAAACTAATAGAATTTTGCAATTGGAGGAATTTTATATGAATCTAGTAAAAATAAAATGAAATTTAATTGAAAACATACACTATATTCTAGGCTTTGATTAAGGAAAAACAAAGCCATAGTATTTTTTTCTTATAATATTTGATGGTATCTGTATTTTGAAATATATCATGGTATTTATAAATTGAGCTGCCACTCACTAGTAGCTTTTAAGAACCTAAAGGATTTTACTGAGATGTCTGAAAACCTTACTATGATTTGCATATGAGCAGTATTTACTCTAAAGTGGTTATTTCCCTGGACCCAGAGAGTTTAGTTACTAAAGAAACAAAATAATGTTTGCTTTATTGTTGAGACCCAGCTTACCTATAAGATGGTTCTGTGACACTTCAAAGACAATACTCAGGATAAATGTCCAATTTATTATGTACATTCTTTTTTGTACTTGTTTGTGCCTTTTTTGTACCATGTATTTAAGAACTCACTAATTTAAAAAATTTAAGGAGGGCAGCTTAGTGCCTCTGTACTACATGAGATTCTTACTTGTATGTGTAAAAGCAGATCATTTTCTGTCTTTGTTCTCTGTCTCAGTTGCCAGAACAGAGTATCTGTACTACTGAAATGCTTAGAACTTCAGGAACTTCTAAAATTTCACAGGAATTTTGCAGTTATGACTAGACACAAATTACTTTGAATTGGAGTGTCAGAATATCCCCTTTGAGCAGATAATTCTGCCTTGAAAATAAAACATTTGACTGAAGTATTGGATTCTAAGTTTTCTTATTTATAGTAATCTTCCCAAATGACACTTGATGATGTGAATAAGATTTGAAACTAGATATTTCCACTACCTGGCAGTGATTAAATAAACATTTTGGGTACACAAAAGAGAAAAGGGAATTTGTTGATAAGATTGGCATCTTAATGGCTTTTTGGCTTCAGTTCACTTGCCAGATGGAAATAAATGGTAGAAGAAGGGAAATTTTTGCAAATTCAACAACTAGTCTCACGGCCAGAAACCAGAGCCTAGTTTTGAACATTCTGCTGCTGGAAAGAGTGATAGCTTAAAGAAGAAAGAAAGAAGGTTCAGGGTTCTCGAAAAAGCTGGATGGATGGTTTATAAATAATTTATGTGGCATGAAATCCTGAGGCCAGATCTTGATTCGTGGAAGAAAACTAATATTTATTAAATGCCCACTTAATGGCAGGCATAGATGTTTTAGTGCTCCATAATAAACTCAGTCTTAAAGGTAGAAAACTGAGGTTCAGGGAGATTAACACAAGTGGTAAGTATAGGAGTTGGGATTCAGACTTGTACTACTTAAAACCCATAGGTTGTCCTCTGTTTTCATGGAAGACTACTTCAGAATTATTAAGTTGTAGAGTCATTACTTAGTAAATCTTGTCTGTTTGTGAGGTAAGAGGGCAGAGGAAAACTTGTACAATTAAATTTAGTGTAATGTTTATTACTGCTCTACTTTCGCCAGCAATTATGATTCCTTTTAAAGTTTTCTTTTCTTTGCTGTAGAAAGTCTGAATTAAAAAAAGCAAAGTGCTAGTCATGGGTAATCAATGGGATGAAAAGGGATTTTAGGATTATAAATAAAGAGGGAATGGGGCAGAGCTCAAAGTCACATTTGTAGTATTTGTCCTTAAATATGGGGGGAGGGCAAAAGTAGGTTGAAACTAAAATGGTAACCACTAATTTAAAGAAATTTGATATAGTCCTGCTAATATCAGATAAAGTAGACTTCAAGGCAAAAAAAACAGTAAAGAGGAAGATTTAAAATAAATGGTTCAGTTCACAAAGAACATATATGATGTTCTGAATTTATGTCTTTAATAACATCTCAAAAATAAAATCAGTTGACTGAACTAACAGATGAAATAGACAAATTCACAGTCATAATGGGAGATTTAAACACTCCTCTTTTAGTAATGGATAGAGTGTAGAGGATAAAAATCAACAAGGAATTAGAAAAATTTGAGCACCATGATGATAGACTTGACCTGAGGAATACATGGTCTGAGCACCTCAGATTACACGCATGTGCATTTTCAAAAATTGAAACGATTGAAATCATGTAACATGGTCTTGGACCATAGTGGAGTTTAGCTAGAAATTGATAACAAAAAACTAGGAAATCTGTATATATTTGGAAAGAACACTGATAAATCTAGGTTTTGTTTGAGTGAAGTTAAAATTTAACATGTTACTTATAACTGATTTTTTGCTTTACAGCTGTGGATTTTTTCAATCAGATCAACATGCTTTATGGAACAATCACAGATTTCTGTACAGAGGAAAGTTGTCCAGTGATGTCAGCCGGACCAAAGTAAGATGTAGCTTATGATCAGTTCTCATTTTTACTTTATTTTACAGTTCTTAGCTAAGAAGAAAGTTTCTAACCATATAATTTCTGCACTTAGCATCTCCTTCACTGGTTCACCAATGAGTAATGTATTAAGTTCAGATTCTTAAGCCTGAGCTTTATCACCCTTCCTGTATTGTCCTCCATCTTGCCTTTCCTGTTAACTTACACATCTCTGGTCTATCCAGACTAGATTACTGGGAATGCCTTGCTTGCTAGTCCCTCCATTGCTTATATTCTGAAAACTTGCTCATTCTGTTCTTGTCTTGGTTATTTTTTTTCTGTTCCCATCTCCTTGTCATCTTCTGCCCACATTTCCAGAAATCTTACCCATCTTCAAGGCCCATATCAAATGCTTCCTTCTCCAGATTGATTTATTCAGACTGATGTGATCTTTCTATTTAATTTTTTATTTTTATGATTACATTTCTTTGTTACATTATAATTATATTAATTATATGTTTCTTATTTAACTGGTTAGATTAGTTCTTCTTTTAAATCCGTTTTGGTGCAAGAACAGTGTCGCCATCTAGTTACCACTCAGTGAATGCTGCTTGGATCAGTAAATTGTTGAAACTGACTTTTATTATTACTGTGGCTGATAACAACAATGCCAGCTACTGTTTTTTCAGTGCTACCTAAATGTAAGGCCTTTATACAGCAAACCTGTGAGGTAAGAAAACTATTGTTATTCTCATTTTACAGGAAAAGAAACTGAGTCTCAGAAAAGCTAAGTAACATGTCCAAGGTCCCGTTATCTAGAAACAGACCCAGGATTGAAATCCAGGTCTCTTTGATTCGCCCGTACTGTCAGTTGCTACATCGTATTATTTTCTTATAAGAAATATTAATTTGTGTTTATAAATTATATAGAGAGAGGTTTAGTTTTTAGTGTTGATTTTTTAGAAAGTATGTTCTCTCCCCCCAATTATAAACAAGGTATAAATATCAAAACAAAAGAAAACAAGCTCTCTAAACTTACTAGTGCTTAGAAGTACTATCATTATAAGTAGTGACCTTAGATTGCTAATTGCTCATTGTGCTAATGCTTTCATTGCTCAGAATATTTTTCGTAACTTTTAAATTACAGTGTCAGATCACTAGCTACCCAAGAGATTCAATTTTATTACTTCATAGTCATAATTTATTTGTTGAACAAAGTATTACCTAGAGTCGTCTACCTTATTCCTCAAATTGACTCTAAATGAGTTTAGATATGTTTCAGAATCGAGTCCTTTTAAAAAGAACTAACAATTTGCCGTCATCAAAGATGTTCCAAATAATGTGCCTTTATTATTTTCTAAGGTAATTTTTTGAAAAATAACTTATTTGCAAACTATTTCAGACTTTGAAACTTCACATAATTTTAAGTGTACAGAAAAGTTGCCAAAACAGCACAAAGAACTCGCATCTTTTTTTACCTCAATTCTTCATTAACCTTTTACTGTCTATTCATCACCCACACTCTGTATGTATATTCATTAACATTAATATTTTTCTGAACCTTTTGAGCAAATTGTAGACATTATTCTCCTTTACCCCTATGTGTTCAACTGTGTATTTTCCAAAAACAAGGATACTCTTGTTTTTGGAAAAAACACAACCAGCATTTAAACCCTCCAAGCCACTTCCTCCAGTCCATGGATACTATTCGCATTTCGTCAGCTGTCTCAATAATATCTCAGTTTTTAGTTTCTAGGCAAGGATCCTGTCTGTGAACATGTATTGCATGTATTTGACTGATCTCTTCAGGTACTTTAAATCTGGAATAGTTCCTCATTCTTTCCCTGTATTGGCCTTTGTGCATGAAAGAGTTAATATAACAGGCCTGACTACAATCTCTTGAAAGGCCTGCCTCCAAGGTTGGCCCTTGGATGGCATCTTGCAACTTATATTTCTTTCTTTTTTTTTTTTTAATTTTGTTTATTTTTAGACAGAGAGAGGAAGAGAGGGAGAAAGAGGGAGAGAAACATCAATATGTAGCTGCCTCTTGCACGCCCTCTACTAGGGACCTGGCCTGCAACCCTGGCATGTGCCCTGACCTGGGGATTGAACCTGCAACCCTTTGGTTTGCAGGCTGGCACTTAATCTACCGAGCCACACCAGCCAGGGCTTGCAACTCATATTTCTGAAGAGTTCCCACAACCCTAACAGTTAAGAGTGGCTCACTGTGCCTAAACTGTATAAACAATATGGCTTATGCTTTTCTTCTGGGCATCTGGGTTTTTAGTGTGTCGTGCGTCGGGCGCCTTTTTGACCATTCCCCCAAATAAAAAACCTGGACCCTAAGTCTCTAATGAACTTTCCTGGCAGAGAGTATTTAGCATGTGTTACCACGATTCAATCCTGGGGGAATTAAGGGTAACCTGTGTGACTCCACTGGGAGAGGACTCACAGAAGCTTGCTCCTGGTTTCCTCCAGATGTCACTCGGTTTGCTATTTCTCTTTGTTGATTTTGGTCTTTGTTCTTTCACTGTGATAATTCATGCCTGTGAGTACAATTATATGCATTCTTGGCAGGAACTCAAAGAAACAATACTTTTTTTTCTCAGTGGATCATGTCAGAAGGCCCATGATGTTGACTATGCCATCATTAACCCTGATTACCATGTTAGTGTCTACAAGATGCCTTTACCTCAAATTTGTCGTTTTCTTCCCCTTTGTAATTGACTCGTATTTTATTGGGATGTTTGCTTATATTACACCAATATTTTGTTCCTATGAATTAGGGAGAATTACTGTCAGAATACTTCCCTGGTCACTTTCTTCACAGAAACCTTATCTAAATAGCTGGTATAGGAAGAATATACCCAGTTCTTCCCACATAACAGGCATAGGATCTTCATAAAGATACTGTACAAGTGCACCCTGGCCAGTGTTGCTGTTGTTTGGAGCGTCCTCCAGTAATGGAAAGGTTGAGAATTCAATTTTCCATCAGAGCACATACCTAGGGTGCGGGTTTGATCCCAGGTTCGGCATGGCCTATGATCCCTGGTCTGGGCATGTACAGGAGGCAGCTTTTCTCTCTCCAGTCAATGCTTCTCTCTCTCCCATTGATGTTTCTCTCTCTCTCCCCCACCCTTCCTTTCTCTTTAAAAGCAATAAAAAAAGGCCTCAGAGAATTTTTTAAAAAGACACTATAGAAATGAAAAATAATCCTTCCTTCCTCCTTTCCTTGAGAAATATCAAGGAATAAAAACAACCATAAAAGTGAGGATGGTCATCATAGAAGTGGGAAGTAAACTAGGCTTTCTATTATGGCAATGTATGATTCTAACATACAAATTTTGTATATGAGGGAAAGCTATGTAATAAAATTAAAACATGGGAGGAGAGTATAGAAACAAAAAATGAGTTTGGTGGAATCTGCTTAGTTTGGATTGTGATAAATGCAAAATAATTCAGTAGCCATTTGAAAACTTTAAATTAAAATGCCAATTATAAAAATCTTTGTTGGAGGAACAGATTATTTAAGACATGTCCTGTATACATTCATAACACATACATGTATAATATAAAAAATATACACATTGGGTATAGGTATATACTAATATTCTGTGTGCTTTTTATTTTTCCAATGCAGATATGAGTATCACTGGGCAGATGGAACAAACATAAAGAAGCCGATTAAGTGCTCGGCGCCAAAGTATATTGATTACTTGATGACCTGGGTTCAGGACCAATTGGATGATGAAACATTATTTCCTTCAAAAATAGGTACAGTAGTTTTGCATAATTTGAATCCATCATGCTTTATCTAATTTTATATATTTCTAGAGCTTATTTTTTCTCTACTCCAGGAACCATACTAGATTACTATATTTATCAAGGTATTTATAATCTTACACATTTAAAAGCCTTCTATCATTTTTATAATAATTTATCATGATCATTAAGGTAAGCCTCCCTGTTTTTTAAACAATGAGAAGATTAGCATTAAGTCAGATAGTGACATAAATTGGCCTGTGTTATGGGAAAAAAGAGACACGCTATTGGGTAGGCAGTCAGTGTCATCTGCAACAGTCACAGCCATTTCTTGTTTAGGGGAGGAGTTTGTATGACTCATATCCAGCTTTACATTATATTTGTGGCAAAGAGGGAGTTTGAGTTTATGATCCACGGTGTGATTCACAGACTGAAATCAAGCTAAGTGAGAGGAAAACAAGATTTGAGCGATTGGCCTGTTACCAACTGAGTGTCTATTGCTTTTTCATATTTGTTCTTAAGGGCTGGCCTTTCAAGTGGAAATCGTTCACATCTAGACAGTTCATAAGGTTTTTACCTTTTCAGATTTCTTATAACTGTGTTTTCTGAAAAAATTAAGAATTTGCTTTTTTAACAATAGATAACTTTTTGATTATATTTCATGCCTTTAGATTTTGGTGGGTGGGTATTGTGGAAGAGACAATAATATAAATAAATAGTTGTTATTATTATGGATTGTTTTAAACACATTTTTTTAAAAAGTTTTTTAAAAGATTTTAATTTTTAGAGAGAGGGGAAGGGAGGAAGAGGGAAATATCAGTGTGTTGGTGCTTCTTGTGCATCCCCTTCTGGGGGTCTGGCCCGCAACCCAGTCATATGTCCTGACTAGGGATCAAACTGGTGACCCTTTTGTTCACGGGCCATCACTCAGTCCACTGAGCCACACCAGCCAGGGCTAAATGTGTTCGTTGAATGTTTTCACTACCTTGGAGCATTTGTAAATAAAGGTCTATTTTTCATGGCTGCTTTATTTATATACATCATAATGGTTTTGGATAAGTGCCCCACCTTATCTTTTATTCCCCATAATATATTTTTAACTTAACTTTGATCCAATTTTAGATTTTTAGAAAATTTGCAAGAATTATGCCAAGAATCCCTATATATCCTTCTTCCAGGTTCTTCAGTTGCCAACATTTTACCACATTTGCTTTCTCTTTCTCTCTCTCCCCAGACATTCTTTCCTTTTTCTGAACTATTTGAGAATAAGATACATATGTGATGCCCCTTTATCCATATGTGTATCCATGTGTATTTCCTTAGAAAATCACAGTATAACTATCAAAATCAAGAAATTAACAGTGATACAATTGCCTAATTTATAGATCTATTTGGATTGTTCCTATTTTCCTAATAATATCCTTTAGAGCAAGAGAAATTTTTCAACATTTTTTCATTCAGTTGTCATGTCTCATTAGCATTCCTTATGCTTTCATCAGTCTTTTGTGGACTTCCATGACACTGATATTTTTGAAGAGTGTAGGCAGGCTGTTTTATTTAATCCCCCTTTATTTTGGTTTCTGCTATGTTTTCTCATGATCTCTATAATATTTTTAAATGAGCAACAGGTGATATGAAGACATTGAACCCAGTAGTACTGCTGTTTGGCTTGTGTTTTGCCAATCTGGATTATTTAGCAAGAGCAACAAAGTAAATGGAATTTTGTATTCTAGATTGTTTTTTTTTTTTTTTTGCTTAATGCTGTAAAAATGCTGTAATTCATAACAATAAGCCTAATTAAGCAGATATTGTAGCTGTTTTTCAGGATAGATGTATACATGGAGTAATGAAATAATTCTTATGGAAAACAATTTAAAAATACATTGCAAACATTTAAACAAAAATGAGCATAGTTAATACATTATTTGTGCTGAGCATATATTTGTATTAAGACATGATATTACAAAATCTGAGGATCTGATTTTGTAAGTTTTACCTCCATTATCATTTTAGGCATTCATTTGTTTCATTTTAGTGAGGTGTGGTATATTAGAGGCCTGAAGGGCTATACTGAAGATTAGTCCTTTTTTTTAAAGATTATTTATTTATGTTTCTAGAGAGAAAAATGGAGAGAGAAAGCGAGGGAGAGAAACATCAACGTGTGGTTGCCTTTCATGTGCCCCCTATTGGGGGCCTGGCCTACAACCCAGGCATGTGCCCTGACTGGGAATTGAACCAGCGACCCTTTGGTTCACAGGGTGGCACTTAATCCACTGAGCCACACCAGCCTGGAGACTAGTTCTTATTCCATACAAGCTTTGAAGTTTGTTTTCTTTCATGATATGTTGAGAATTCTGAAGAGTACAGTGGGTATATTAAGTAGTAATTCATAAATACTCCTTTTCAGCCTTATCTTGGTGATTTATGTTGCCATTTGCTGACAAACTCATATTGCCTGTCTCTTGTTAATAGATTGGGGTTGTTTCTCTATTTACTAGGGGTCCCTTTCCCGAAGAACTTCATGTCTGTGGCAAAAACTATACTCAAACGCCTCTTTAGGGTTTATGCACACATTTATCATCAGCATTTCGACCCTGTGATTCAGCTTCAGGAGGAGGCGCATTTGAATACATCTTTCAAGCACTTTATCTTTTTCATCCAGGTAAGTTTGAATGGGAGGCCTTTTTTGTTCAGTAAAAGCAGTTATCTACAGAGTTCTGAGGTAAAAACCGTATTCACACTGTAGGGATAAAATTTGCTATATCTCTCTAGTTTTCTTTCTTTCCTATACTTGCCATGATGATAAGGACTGCCTTTTGTTTCTGAATTCCATTCATCTCCAAGGTGGTGGCATACACATCCAAATAAGATGGTTTCTGAGGATTCTTGCCTTGGATTTGTTTCAGTTAACGGGCTGATATGGAGGGGCTGAATGAGGAACCTGGCTAGTTTGGCAGACCTATAGATGAACTTGATCTCTTGAGCTTTTTAGTACTCCTCCTACTCCTCTTAACCCTTAATTCCTGGCTACCTTGGAATGTTTTTAGCATACTCTGTCCTGGCAATGGGCTTTGAATATCACACCTTCCCCCCTGCCCTCTTTTTTTCTTCTTTTTAAGCATTCTGAATAGTTTTTAAGTTAGGTACTGTCCATTATGTCTAAAGAGGGGAAAATGTCCCAAAGAGTGTTGCTCTTCCAGGAGGTCCATTAATTAGTCTTTGATCTGACTCCTTAGTTGACCTCCTTTTCCTTCTCTTTTTAGTTTTGAGAGAAGTGGTCTTAGAGTTGAGGTTAGGAAGAATAAAGATAGTCTCACCCTGCTATAACAGTTAGGGAACTAAGAGCCAGGAGTGAAGAATAGGTGGAAAAGATAAGCTGACCAGCTCTTTTTTTTTCCTGGTTTAGGTTGAAAGGGGTTTATGGTAGGCAGGAAAAGTTCAAAGCTTGATTCTGTGTTGTTTTTGTATATATTTGGGCATATACTTATAAATGTCTTCTCCATGACCCATCTCCACTAGAGAAAAATGTGTCATTTTCCCTCTCTACACAATCCTCACACTGAGGCACAAATTTTGTGTCTCAGTTTCACCTATATAAACACATATTAGGAGGTAGTAACATGCCTAAACTGTTGCTCTGAGCAATTACTTTACTATGGTATTCCATTTACAGATACCCACAGAAACAAAGGAAATGGTTCCCTAAAGCTTGTATCTGTGCCTTGGTTTAGGCAGACATGATTGCCGAAGTTCAGATTTGAGTGGTTTATGAGAGGATATGCTCCCACCAGAAGGGTTAGTTTTACTTTACAGTATGATCTTAAAGTGCATTGTATCTCCCGACTCTTAGCAAATAGTAGGGGGAAGATACATGGCATTTACCACATCTGGGCCTATTTACAGCTCAAAATACTGTGCCCTTCTTAAAGGTGGGTCCATTAGTTATGCAATATCAGCCCTTGATTGAATAAACCCTTGGCCTCACAATTTAGAAAGTCCTGCCCTGACTCTTCTCCAGTTAGACTCCTCCCCACAGAGGGAAGAATCCACAGGGTCAACTACATACCTACCCAGGTCCCTTCTGGTGTGTGCTTCCATTTCAGAATTCCCTGCCAACTCGTCCCAAACCTATTTCCAGGGTCTGCATGGATCATTTCCTTGGGTCTCTTCTTTTGAGGGGAGGTCGTGTCTCTGATATGTGTACCTCTAGACCTACTGCATAGTCAGATGGCAGCTGTTAGTGAGGGTGTATGGTGTTGCCTCTGTAAGCCAGACAAGGTGTCCACACTCATGTGTGTGAAGCCCCATAAGAAAAGGATGGAGCTGGGGGTTGGGAAACGAGCAAGGTTGCTGAGGGTCAGGCGCTGGCTCTCCTCCTGTCACTACTTTACAGTGAAGAATTCTGAGGAGTCTTGGTAATTCTAAATTTGAGTCTTCTCTCCTGGTCACCATAAAGGTATATTTTGTCAAGGTAGGAGAATAGAACATGTTTTACTTAATAATATATTAGCTTAATTTAAAATTTAATAATTTAGTCATACTATATATTCATTTGTGTTCTTGGTCCAGACCCCGCAAATCTTAGTGGTAGGTTTGCTATTAAATGCCCCCTAATGCTTCTCCCCAGCACTTGTTGCAGTATTTGGCACCTGATGGATATTCATAAATCGTTGAAATTGGGAGTTCAGAATGCCCTATGATGGCAGAAGATCAGAAGTATAGACAGCTTCTATTTATTATAGTTTAGTAAGGGGAAATCTATTCAGACTTGAACTTTGGAATGACACCATCTCATGATAGCTTGCAGATTTGTTTGTAACATAAACTAATTCTTTTACTGTGAAATTTGTCTGAGATGCTATATATTTTGGTTCCTACTTAGTTGACTATGTCTAATGGTGCCCAAGTTATTCCTTTTAACAGAGAGCAGAAATTCCATTTATTGAGTGTTTACTTTGTGCCAGGGATTACTTGAAGTGGTTAACTCACATTTAGTTCCCATAATAATTTTATGAGGTAGGAGGATTTATCCTAATATTATTACATGTATAAAACAATATCAGAAATGGTTAAGTTATTTGCCTAAGACAGGCAGGGACTAGAAACTTAAAATTGTTTTTTTACTTTTATTTAGTGTAAAAGTTAATTTCCAACCAGTATTAATGGAAATCTGCTTTGGACTGAGATGTAAATAACATTTTTGCTATTTCTTCTGCCTTTCTTTATCATGCATAGGAATTCAACCTCGTTGACAGAAGAGAACTTGCACCACTCCAAGAACTGATTGAAAAACTCACCTCAAAGGACAGATAAAGGCTGCAGAACTGTTCCTCAAATGCATTTGTGTGGAGTGTATTTAGATTTCATTGTATTTTATGTTTATCTCAGTGGCTTTGTCTTAGTTTTGGGGGGCTTGTTTGGGTTCTTTTTTCTTTATTCTGAATAAATAAAATTATATTCTATTGCTAGAGGAAGCCAAGAATCATTCTCTATACATTTGATAGGGGTAAATTTTTGTCTTAGTGGCATATGGTATTTTTTTTTTAACTTGGTTTTGGTTACTTGTAGAATTTCTGATAATATGTGTTGAAAGAAAATGCTTATTGATTGGACTGCTGATGGATGGGGTTCTGTGTTGTGTAAATGGTGGCCAATTTTTGAAGTCCCCGAAAGACTTATGTTTTTAAGTGCCTTGGCAGACTCACTTCTGAGGTGCAAAGCACAGAGATAGAACCAAACAGGGCTTGCAACAATATTGGGAGTACTACCCAGGGCACTTACTGATTTATGTTTTAAAACATCTATGCTAAAAGCCATAGTTTACCTAAATTGATGATCTCCAGCTTTTCCTACATAGAGGAAACACACTTAATAAAGTTGTGCATGTAGAACATACAAAAATTAGTATTTCTTAATTATTTTTTATATTAATAGTAATTCTGTTCAACAAATGCTTCAAGTTCTACAAGCAGGCCTTTTTCCATCTCTTGACATCTGTGATACTGAGACTTGAGGATGTCGAAATGCAATACCTTTGCATTTTGTCTTCTTTCTACATGTTAACTGCACTGTAGGTGTGAATATTCAGGTTATATACAAGTTTGCCATCTTCAGAGGTAATGCTGAACTGTGAGGTTTCTTAGCAATTGCCAGATGAGCCATAAATCTGCAGAATCCCCTTCTGCTATGAAGAAGCAGGGATAGGAGGTGTGTTTTGTTGCTGGGGCAGGGGGCAGTTAGTTTGTATGGAGAGTTAGGAATGGAATTAAGTATGGGAAATCAAGTTTTAGAAGGTCCTGTCTTAAAACCCTTGCATAGAATGGCATGAAGATTTTAATCAGTTTCTTATAAGCAGAGTCTCAGAGACTTCTTTTTTAGGAATCAACTTCCATGAGAAGTTAAAAATAAACTACTAATTTTAGGTATAGATATTAAATATGGGATTCAAGGACTGTTTGGAGAAATTGACCACTTTTTAGCATTTCCATTCAGTGAATGGAGCTGGTGTTTGCCTGTCATTTTTAAATGATACAGTACATTCTAGGCCCAACTTGAAGCATTCTGACTTCTGATTTCCACTGTGAAAGGAAATACTTTTTGCAGTGATATCAAACAATGAAAGTGCTAATTCAGTAGTTTTTAACTGTATTTTCCATGACTTTCTAGTGAATTATTCCCAAGTTCTGAAGATTAGTTTTTAAAGTAAATATCAACATTTTCAGTTCAGTTTTATTCTTGAGATATATACTTTTCAGACTTTGTTTTAATTTTGTCATTCCTGGTAAATCTGCATCGTTCATTTAGAAATATATACATTTTCCCTTATAGAAGAGAAATCTTGCTCTGAAAATACCTAGAAAAAAATCTGAAATGAAATCAGTTTGGTTTTGCTGTTAACAAGTAGGGCAGTGATACAGTTTAATGCTGTTCAGTTGTGATCACTAGGAACTGCCTTGTTCTCCATTTTATTGATAGCAGTCATTCTCCAAGTACCAACAGTAGAAGTTAACAAGAGGGACAGGCAGGGACAAATACATTGGACATTCATTGGTGATGCTTAGTTATAAATAGCAGTGAGAACAAGCTGATTTCCTTAAAAAAATCTTTTAGTATCCAAATATGTAAGATCAACCATTATGGGTTGATTCAAAAATAAAATTTGGCATCAAGTGATTGGGGTCTTATCTATTTAGGGAAATGAAGCATATGATTACTCAAGTAGTCTTTCGTAGTGCATTTGACTTCGGATCAACCTAGTATCAAAAGGGTTGCAATAGCCAAGAGTAGGGAGAATAGTGAAAAATTGTTCTTGCTCTTTTAAGCCTTATACAGTACACTGTAAAAATGCATAAATGTTTCTATAAATTAATGTTTAGTAGTAGGACCTACTTTCCCACTGTGTGTATATAGGAGTTTGTTGTCACTGTGCCAGAATCTCAGGTGCCTGCTTCTGAGTATTCCTTTAAACAGAGTTATTGGGAAGTAATGAGTTATGTATGTGTATATATGGTAACAAAGTAGGGATGTTCTCCCAGGGAGAGACCTGGCATTGTACTTGGTGTTACATGGCTACAAGTAGGGAAACATTCACCAGAACATGTGAGAAATAACTGATTTAATTAAAAAATTGCTTTGGTTCAGTCGGTTCTCGTCAGCATTAGTGAGATACAAAATAAGGATCAAATCTTGGCTTTGCAGCAGAGCTTGCTTATAACTGTTTATTGGATTATTTCCAGATTTCTTTATTAAGTTTATAAATGACCAAGATAAGGATTTCCCCCCTGTTCACTATACAGAGATGTAAAACAGAAGTTGGTTTTCTCATCTGCTAATAAAAGCATAAAATATAAGGTAGTAAGTTAACATAGTATTATTTTCACAATGCTTTGGTTAAATGTTGTTATGAAGGAAGTTTCAGGAATTATTTTAGTGATGGAGTAATGGTGTTAGAGAGAAGTTAATAACAGAAAGTGAAAATCTTTAAGTTAGCAGTAGATGGTGCTACTAGCTTTCATTTGCTGACTTGATTACTCTGTTTCTCATAAAATCCATTACATTAAACTGCACTAAAACAGAAAGCATGTGTGTAAACTCACTGTTTGGAGGTCAGTTTATCTTAAATTGAAAGATTTTAGATTGCTATCGCTTTTTACCTTTGTCATTTGGAAATTCTGAATGGTCAGCATAAAATGTATTTGGTTGGAGATGACATGTTTAGTGTGTAATGTATCTCACACTGAATTACAGCTTGTTTTATCAGGAAGGTTAAAGCACTAAAATTGCTTGTATTCAGGAAGTACAGATGATGTGGATATTTACTTTTTTCATGTAATCTACCAGACTCCATATTATGTATTAGCATTTTCCTTGCTTATGGGAAAATAGCAAAATGACAGATTTCTTTTATACCTTTGTCTACACCCTCTCTGAGAGAGGTTTTGATAACCACTGAAATGGTAAAATAAGTGAGATGCAATTACTAAGTTGTAGGACTTTTAAATAAATATGTTATACCTTAAATATCCAAATGAGAGTTGATCTTCAGGGTGGTTCCTTTGGGAGCACTACTTACTCCATTTATGCTGCATTGGTATAGAGTTTTGGGAATACTTTCAAAGATGCCTTGAGAACCATTTTATGACTATGCAAGAGGATCTACTTTATCATTTGAGTTGCACCAAAAACTGTTTTTGGCAAATAATGTGACTTGTCTCATTCACCAAACTGTCTCTGCTTTGCTGTTCTCTTAGCACTAAACCATTCAAGTTCAGAAGAATGTGCCATAGGTTCTGAATTTGCAGAAGAGAATGTTTTGAGCATAGGTAGCATCATTTAATAAATGTCACTACTTTGAAGTAGACAATATCATTTGGATGTATAGGATTTATTTTTTTTTAATTTAGTTGAATTATTTTTCAGTTAAATATAATCATAAAAAATCTAAGTACCTTATTTTCTGTTTTTTTGTTTCTTTCACTGATAATTCTTGAATTCCGTCTTGACTACTATAAAATTGTTTTGACTGAAGGAATAGTAAGAAAAGAAGTGGATCCCATATTTAAAATACAAGTAGTCTAAGGAAACAACAGCCTTTACCTCATTCCTTTTTCAAAAAAACATTTTCACTCAGATGAACAATTTGAATATAAAGACTAGAGGGCATTTTATAAAGAAATTGGATTAAATTTTATATATTAATTAGTTTTAAGCCTATGTATCATTGATAAAATTATTTAAAATTATATAACCATTTCATATATCACTTAAAACTTTAAAATTGTGAATGTCTCTTTAAAAGATGTGGGACCAGAAGTCTATTTGTAATTTGAAAATGTGTCTGCATACCAGGAGGAAAACTTTAGTTATTTTGAAATTTATCTGGAATATTAAAGAATATACCAATTCTTAGAAATCCTATTCTAGACCTATATTTAAAGGACCATTTCTAAAATAATTTAAATATTAAAGTTTTGTCATAATGTTGATTCACGATAGGAATTACTGTTTAGCTGTCAGTTTAGTGGTGTCTGAGATACATATTTAGAGGGAAAACTATCTCAAGATTTAATGAAAACGTTTAATTTTGAGATGTAATAACAATTCTGACTGCAGACAATTTGAATTTTTAGGGTTTTCCTAAAGAGCTAATCAAATGGAAGAATTCATTTTGAAGCTATAAAAGTATGCTCCATGTATGCAATTTGTAGTTGAACTGGTACATAAATTTTGACTAAAGAGAGAAAATACAGATTAATACTGAGTATTCTCAGTTTTGCTAGTGTGATGCGAATTTCTTTTTCTACATATTAATACTCTGCAATGGATAACTTTGGATTTCAGTTCTCAAAGATCCATAGTGAAGTCTCTGGCCTTTCCCAGCTTTATGTTTACCTGTCATCCTCTTCTTTTTGGAGGCAAATTACTTCCTTACTGCTGTTGACTTTCTATACCTCCCACCACCCCAAAACACAGCCACTTGGACAACAAAGCAGGCTGATAGTGCAGGTCCTCATTGTCAGTGCTTCTGAAGTACTTGCTGTCAATACTTAGGTTTTAGCTGAACTGTTGAAAGATGCTACTTCCGTAGGCATTTTTGTTGTTGTTGACAGCTTTCTTTAAATATGTCACCGAAGTTGAGATCATTAGTGATATACAATAATAATTTTTGTTAATATTTAATTTCTCTCATATATTATTATTGTGTTTCTTACTGGTTTGCACATTTTTTTTCTTTTTTGTTTCTGAAATACTTAACTGTGCAGGTTGTAAAATAGATTAGTACATTTTCATTTTAAGAACACTTTTCTCCTTAAATTATTCTGCTGAGATAACTATTTTTAGGGGAAATAGTTTTTTAAAGCCACTAAATTGTATTTGTTATTTTTATACATGCATAACTAGGGTGCTGAGTGCGCTAGTCTTGTGGGGAGACACTTAACTTTTCTTCTAGTTGAACATTTCTAATACATTATTACTTAAAATTATCTAGAAACTGTCATGAAATCTAGCTTTGAGAGTGAATACAGTATAGATGAGAACACTTAAAAGTCTGAGCAGAAATCGATTATGAGGACAAAAGCAGAACACTGCCAGTGCCATAGAACGGACGTAGAGGCCCAGCATCGACATTGCACACGCATTGGAAAGAATGTCCAAAGACAGGGGTCCTGCTCCATCGGAGATAGACAGTTTCTCAGTTAGAGTAGCTGAAAGGGGAAAAATGGCCTAAAATATGAAATGTAACATGGATGCTGTGTTGTAAACTGTGCCAAAATTACTCAAATTATAGTTATTATTGATCAAAGTTTAACTGCTTTATCATTTTTGTTTTCAAAGAGGATACCGAATGAAAATCTGTAACATGTTTTGAGAGATGTAAATAATGTATACAGACTTGTATGTGATGAGATGGGAAGAAATATTTAAGTTTAGGGTTTTTTTAAAGGGAGAAAGGATGTTTATTACAAAAATTAATAAATAGTTATGTTTGGCCATGAATTCTGACTTTGTATTACTCTTTTTTTTTTTTTTGCTATAGATATTCCCACACTGAAGACATTCCTAGAGAAATATGGAGGGTATTTGGAATATGTTGACAATTTAAAATTTGTTAGGCATTATTTTTTAATAATGTTTACAACAACCCTGGAAGTTATTATATTAGTCTTACATATTAGAAAACTAAAGCTCAGAAATTGTATAAGTCACTGATCAGAACTGGGGTTTAAAAACCTCCACATGGCCCTGGCCAGGTAGCTCAGTTGGTTAGAGAGCCGTCTTGATAACACCAAAGTTGTGTTTGATCTAAGGGCACACACAAAAATCCACCAGTGAATGCATAAATAAGTGGGACCACAATCCATGGTTGTCTTCTCCCTTCTCTTTAAAATCAAAATAAAAATCCAAATACGCTTTGACCTTGAAACCAATCCTTTTGGTATTTAAATATATAGCAGTACCCTCTTATGCTCAGTTACCCACGGTTAACTGTGGTCAGAAAATATTAAAGCGAAATTTTCAGAAATAAACAATTGATAAGTTTTAAGTTGTACATCATTCTGAGTAACATGATGAAATCTTGTGCCATCCCACTTGGTCCTGCCCAGTCCTGCCCTGTCCTGCCCACAACATGAATCATCCCTTTGTCCAGTGTACCCACGCCTATTAGTCAACTATGGAGGTATTGCAGTGCTTGTGTTCAAAGTAATCCTTATTTTACTTACTAATGACCCCAACGTGCAAGAGTAGTGATGCTGGCAGTTCAGGAATGCCAAAGAGAAGCTGTAAAGCATATATATGTATAGGAAAAAACTACATAGGGTTAGGTATAATGCAAGTTTTTAGGGATTGGGGGTTTTGGAACATATCTCTTGTGGATGAGGTGGGACTACTGTACTGTAACTGAAAACAGCTGGCAAAATATTTAACTATTTTTTATCTTTCCATCAAGCTCAGATTTTATGAAATTCTGTCTTCATTATAGATCATTAAAGAATGAGCAGCATTAGTGAATCATTTTACCCTGATATATAAGTTCCAAAAGGAAATGTACTTTTAGAGTATCCCCAGAGTATTATTATTTTAGAGGTTTTTATGTTTAGAGGCATTTGTGTTTGGACAGTCATGTTGACAATATTTTGGTGGTAGTAGCCACAATAGTCCAATGTCACTAATTAGTATTTCAGCAAAAGACTAGAAGAAATGCTAGTCCACACCAATGTTGACTATGTTTTAATAAAAACACCATGTTATTCTGCACATACAGTATGTACAAAAAATCTGTGTGTGAAGAAACTCATAAAAATCATTTTGATAAGTAGGTTCATTTGTCTCATTTGTAAGTTTAAATATATAATGTCTTGAATGATGCATTTTGGTAACAAAGGTAATTATTTAAGGCTTAACCATGTTTAATATATGTTTAAACTCATTTTAAACAGCATAATAAATACAGTGTTACTTTATTTTTTTTACCTAAGTTTACCTTTACAAGCATGCTGCAAAATATAGCTTCCTTTCCTAAGGAGCTCTGCAGAGTTGATGGCTGGCTACTATGCCTTGCTAGTATGTTATTTTGCTATTTGCTGGAAGCACCCTGACTCTCCACTCTTTATGATGGTTTCTGCATCTTTCTGTTTTCTAGGCAATAATGAAGGTTGCAAGGAGAAATTTGTAACCAGGGTTATTAAGCTGATAAGCAATTTTACAGAAGTTAAGTTGGTATATACAAATGACTAGGCTGTGTAACCGCTACTTAACAATGTTCACAGTCCTTTTTTTTCCCTTTGTTCTCAGTTTTTGAGTTGCTTTAGAGGTTTCTTAATAAACTTGTATGTGATCAGTCAGGACCCTGTCTCATTCAACCAGCACTCCCACAGGAGAAAAGGAATCCCCAAACTGAAGGACTTTCTGGCAAAGACGTGTTAAGACAGTAGCAGCTCACAACTGGCTAAATGCTCCAATCCCTTGTCTTTAGTCTGAAACACAAAAATCTGAAAAGCCTGGAAAACAAAGTATTTTCTTGATTCAGTGCAGACTTAACCTGATCTGAGGTTAACAGTCTTCATCTCAATGTGAAAACTCAAGTTTCACTGCCAAATATTAGTGTATTTAACACTTTAGAGGAGAGTTGGGGGGGTGACATAATATGTACAGTTTACGACTGTATTTATTTTCCAAAGTCCAAAAAGTTTTGAATTCCAAAACAGATCTGGCTATGCTACTTTCAGATAAGGGATTGTGGACAAAAATCAGGAAGGTGCTTTTAAAAGTGCTCCTCTCTTGTCTCTTCCTTGTGTTATGTAGGAAAACGGAAAACTCTGCTGAACTTGGTGTTGAGAGCTAGGTTCTGTTTCCCCCATTGACTTGGTATTTTTAAGGTACACTCTTAAGCTTAGGGGAGCTCAAGTTTTCTCTTATAGCCAGAAATGGCAGAGCTGAGATTTGAAAGCAGCCTTTAATTTTTCAATGCTTAAACTGTTACTTGCGACATTTCTTTTGTGTGTGTATGTGTGTTTTGTGTGTATGGAAACCATACTTGGGGATTTCTACTCCTCAATCCCAAAAATCTGTGCAGATCTATATGGGGCTTCTTCAGTTCCACTTTCCTCCTGTGTGAAGGTCTTAGAGATTCACCCCACTTCATTCCTTTCTCAGTAACTACCAGTACCCTTATTTCATAGATTTCCCCCAAGCTTAGGTGTGGAATAAAACACCTAGTAGCTTCTCCAGCCTCCTTGCCATTCTTAATGACAAGCATTCAGGCCTTTTTCATTTCAAGGATCATACTGCTAATCACTAACGGAATAAACAAAAGTAATATACATAAAACAATAGCATAACAAAATAATATAGGGAAATTCCAAAGCATGATTTTTACTGTTTTTATTCCAGAGTTCCCCATGGAGTTACATTTTGATTTCTGCTCTTTGTTTCTGAGAATGAGTCACCATTTACCCACCTTCTTCTGACCTCCACCTTTAGATGCATTTTAGATGTAATGATAGTTGCAAAGTAAATAACAGAGCCTTTGGTTTCTGTAGATAATTTGAACTCAGTGACTACTAGATTGGACAGTGTCTGCTTTATGAGTTTTTTGTTGTTGTTTTTATCATGTTAAAAATGAGTTCCTCTGGGCATTTTTACACAGTATTTGTGCCCAGCTGAGTGTTCTAGCAGAGTACATAGCGTGAATAGGCATTCAAAAATTCAACATACATATGTATTTGTTAGGTATGTGTCAGGTATAGGGTATGCAAAGTTAAATAGTTATAGTCTCACTGAACAGAAATATACCCAGTGTGTTAATTTCCACATAGCATGGTAGGAGTAGAAATGTTTCCTTATTCCCTTTTAGGTTCTTTGGCTGGTCTAGTAATTAAATTGACATAAAAGAGAATAATAGGAGAAAAACAAATTTTACTTCGTTTGTATGGAAGCCCCATAAAAATAGGAGACTTGAGGTGAGCAAAGCAAGAAGCTTTTTCGTCTTTTAAACAAATAATAAATTTCCAAAGAGTAGACAAGGCAAAGGATTTGGGCTTGGGATAGTAAACTGGTGAAGAAGTAACCAGGTTTGTTAACACAAAAGGGCCCTACATTTTCTATCTCTGGTGATAAGGTGCGGGTAGGGTACATTTCACATGGGAGACTTATCTCCTTTCAGTGGGGGACAAAGGAGAGACAGAGCGTCCTTGTGAAGGTTATTTCTCAGATACCTTTAATTCAAAAACATTAATATGCCAATGCATATTTTGGGTTGGCATATTTTACTTTCTTTTAGCACAATCACGCAAACAAAAACAAATGAAGGGGGGTGGAGAATGAGAGATCAGGAAAGGCTATCTGTGGGGTGGCATCTGATTACCTAAATTCTCACCCCAGTTCCACGCACTGGATTGCTAGTTAATTCCTGAAAACAGCTGGAAACAGTGCTTGGCTGGGTTGCCTAGCAGCATTTAGCCTGATGGTCGTCCTCCAGGCTGAGAACACAGGGTAATCTATTTGATTTTTCAATTACACATTGCTTCTCCCCAGACAAGTTCAAAGTTTCAAGTCCAACCAATTCTGCCCAGACGCTGTGTTTATCTCCACAAGCTCCACTGGAGAGGCGAGTTCTCCAAAGTCCAGCCCACTTCAGGTCTGAGAGCAGGCGACACCCACTGCCCTCAGCGGCGCTCACGCGTCCTCAGGCGCCCCTGGGCCAGCCGCTCTTAGACTTCAGGTACCCGCCCTCCGCTCCCACCCCACTCAGGTATCACCCGCCCCTCTCCCCAGGCCCCGGCGTCCTTGGCATCCCCGGAAGGAAGAGGCGCGTCGCAGCCCGCACAGCTGCGCCTTTTGCTCTCGCGAGATCTGATGTGCTGGGCACTCCCTCACAGTCCCGGCAATAGCGGCGGCCAGCCGAGGGGCCCTAGGGGATATCAAGAACAGCAGAGAGGGAGGGGCGTGGCTTTCCCGCTGGGTGGGTGGCCTGCCCGCTGCTCCGCCTCCTTGGCAGCCGCCTCCGCGCGCCAAAATCAAATCCTGGGCGTGCTGGCGGGACACAACCTAAGAAGATCCTGGTTCCCGCTTACAGGCCGGCGGCCGAGGCGGCGGCGTCTCAAGCACCTGTGCGGACTTCCCAGCCCTTCTTGCCGTAAGCGATCCGACGGCCACTAGACCAGGAATGGCCACCCCGCCCAAGAGGAGCTGCCCATCTCCTGCGAGCAGCTCTGAGGGAACCCGCATCAAGAAAATCTCGATCGAAGGGAACATCGGTAAGGAGCTCTGGGGAATGTTGGGTTCACAGAAAGGGTTGTCACGGCAGCGGTGAAGGCCCATTTGCTGCATCTTTGCTGCTCCTCGAGTACTTTCCTCCCAGTCTGACTGGGCAGACGCGGCTGCGGTGTGGAATTCCTTTCTGCCCTCCCCGACTTCCCTCGTTTACCCCCAGCCTGGCGGCGGCCGCGGGCCGTTGCAGAAACCTGCGGGACTGTGAGGAGCACTTTGGGCTGGTTTCATCCTCTGTTGGGAGCCCGCAAAGGGAAACATTTTTTTGGGGGGGGGCGCGTATTGTCGGTCCTTGGGGTGTAATTTACATACGTTGTTACCCCTTTTTAGGTGTACTCTTCTGAGGCTTGGCAAACAATGTCGTTTTACCACCACCACGATCACGATTGAGAACATTTCTATCTCCTCAAAAAGTTCCCTTGTGCTCCTTTGTAGTCAGCCCCCTCTCTCTTCCTATCCTTTGGCAACAGCCACTAATTTGATTTCTGACCCTGTAAGTTTGCCTTTTCCAGAATGTCATATAAACGGAATCATAGAGTGTATAGCGTCTTTAATTTAGCATAATGTTTTTAGCTTCATTCATCTTGCTTGTTTCGGTAGTTCTTTTTCATTGCTGAGTAGTATATCACTGTGTGGTTATACCACAGTTTACCTCTTCCCTGTTTGTGGACATTTGATTGTTTCCAGTTTTTAGCGATTATGAATAAAACTGCTATACACATTCTAGTACAAAGAAAGAGGTTTTTAATGATCTTAACAGAATGGAGTTACGCATTGCCTACCCTACATCCAAGTAAACACTGGCTTATGATTCAAAAACTGTTACTATTTCTGTTTTTTCCTCAGATGGGGACAGACTCCACCATTAATGTGTTTTTGCAAGATGCACCTGAACTTTCGATTCTTACATATTTCCCACCACAGGAAACCTATGTCTGACATTTCCTGTTTTGAAAGAATTTTTTGTCTCTAAGTTAGGTACTAGCCATTCATGCATACAGCAAGTGTTTTTTTTATTCTTAGCACATTTAAAGCACTTGGCCTTATAAAAAGTAAGGCAAGCAGATGCTTTAGCAACCTTCCAAGGAATAGAAAAAGCTGAACATACCCTCAAAGAAGACTTTTCTTTCATTGCTCCAATATTAAGGCACCAGCGGAAAAGATCCATATACAATTGGGTCAACATGCATTTGAACTGCGGTGGTCCACTTATATATGGATTTTTAAAAAATTGATTTTTAGAGAGAAACATCAATTTGTTGTTCCACTTACTTATGCACCCATTGGTTGCTTCTTTGAATGTGCCTTCACCAGGACATGAACCCGCAACCTTGGCATATCCAGATGACTCTAACCAATTGGGTTACCCAGCCAGGGCTATATGTGAATTTTTTTCCCCTCAATAACACCATTTGTGGTTGGGAGTCTGAATGCTGAGGGCAGACTGTATGCCCTCATGATCTACATATGCCATTTTATATAGGAGACTTCAGCATCTGCAGATTATGGTATCCATGGTGTAACAGGGTGCAGCCAAGAGGGGAACCCCTAATAGGAATTTGTATTGGGGTCCAGAACTCAAAATGTCCAGGAAAAATATACTGGATGTCCTCACCATCCCCCGCTCCCCCTACCCAAGGCTAAGCTGGGGAATGGGATACATGGAACAGGGCCATTGGGAGCTGTGTTGTATAGCAACAGCTTTGCAACTAATCTCTGGCTTGGTCATTTAACAATCTATAGCCTTTAACTGGTTTCATAGATCTATTAAATAGCTGTGGCCTTGCTTTGAGCCAGGAGGATGGGAGTGACTTCTACCCAAGATGTAAACTGAGAGGCAACTCCCCCTGGTTACAGTGCTTGCATGAGAGCTTGGAAATGATTGGCTCCATGCAATGGAACCACACCTGCCCAGACCCACTATGGGTGTTGCGCGTGGGTCACCGGCCAGCAGTGACCACGGCACACTGTGGATGGCTCGACAATACGCGAGAAAAAACACACATGCACAGAGACAAACCAGTTTCTGTGGGGAAGTAGGGACAGAATGGCCACCCCCCCTAGTGGGGAGCGCGCCGATTTACAGTCCATACCTGCTTTTATTGGGCTCATGCTACATAATAACTCAGGTAACGTACAATACTCATTAGGGGAAGTAAGGAATATATAAAACAAAGAACTCTGCCGGTCTATTGAGTTGGGGGGTCAAAGAGCTGTAAGGCTGAGGAACAAACTAGCTTCCTCCTAAGACCCTCCTCATTCAACTGAGAGCATTCTTGAACAAAGAAGGTTTCACAGTAATTTACATGTTCTTTCTTAGGCCTGATCACCCCGGGAAATCCGCACTTCCCAGTACCGAGCTGTACTTCCCCGTCATTGTTTCAGGCTTAGGTGGAGCGCGGGAACTAAGGCCACCGAGAGATAAGGAGATTTTCTTCCGGACGCTGAGAACTCAGACTTTGTCAAAGCCGAGGAATGAGGGTCCATCACCCCCCTTTTGCTGCAGCCCCCCCCCCAAGTCCTTCTTTTGGGGGGCCTCCCAAAAGTGATCGTGCCTGGCTTGGGTTGTTCCCCCCGTGGGGAATCTTACCCGTCTTTGGCTAACCGACCAAGCTTTTGGGGGTTCGGCAGCAGAAACAGCATTACTGCCAGGGAGATAAGCTTTTGTCTCCTTGCCGGCTCACGGTTCCAAGGGCGTTCCCTTAGCCTTAGCCTAGGCGGGGGTCTCAGCTTCTAATACCAGTCAGGGCGGTTCCCAACATATCCCCCTTTTTTAGTTTTTTTAAAATCAATTGTGGTCGTTAAGCCTGTGAAACCTACTTTTGCTGTTTTCGAATGCAAATCAGAAGAAAAGCAACATCTACATACATCATAAGGCAATAATAGAAATATAAAGCAGAAACTAAATTCTATGGGTGGTGAATACCTAAATTTCTAAATTCAGTGCAAGAAAACATATTAAGGGAAAAACAAAAGTAATAGGTCTGATTACATTTCAATCTTTGAGAGAAATTACATAGATATCAGGAAAGGCAAATTACAAGGCAGTTTGAGCATAATGCAAGCCTGACTTCTTACGAGAGGATTTCTTAACAGGGTGCAGTTCTGCGCACCGACTCATCACCTACTTTCTTACGTGGGTGTTGAGTTTTAATTTTACGCCTGCCAGAGTGGTTTCTCATACCTTCTCCCTTGTTTTCAGTTAGGACTGCTAAGGGTTCCATAAAGGTGGCTACCTGCTGGTCTCTGATACGACCCTGGGAAAACAATTTGCAAATACACCGAAGTACACAAATCAATATCACAATCAGTAAACAACCAGCAGCTCCAAAAACCCAAATTCTCAAATTAATTCCATCAAACCATGTTTTAGGATTCAGCCAATTAATATTTTCATTAAGGGCTTGAAAAATGTCCTGTTTGGTTAAACGTTGAATGTCCTGCAGCTGATGATGTAACTCCAACTGCAATTTATCAATTTGTCCTTTTAAGTTAGTGGAGAAAGCTCCCCTCAAGCGATGTTGTATATCAGTCCAAGTATGTTGGCTGGAATTCCACTGTAGCGGTGTGACACACAGTCTGGAGAAACCAGGGTCACAGGTTAGGTGCTGACGAATCACGAGAGCGTCCTGGCATTCGCCAATCCAGTCCAGTGCTGATTCAACTGCAGAAAGGCGGGTCAGGATCTCCTGATCTATTTGAGCCTGTTGGACTAATTCTAAAGTAGCATTGATTAAACCATAAGTGCAACCAGGTGTTAACAAACTGTCGGACTCATAAGGAGAGCAGTGCATTGTTAAATGCTATAATGCCATTTGGATTCATTCATTTTTCTGGTCATATTCTGGAGATAACAGATTTGGAAAGAGTTGGAAGGCACAATTAAATCATAACCACTATTAACAACTGGTCTTGTTAGATTTATGCAAAGAAACCTTATGTCATTACTTACTCCTTTAGAATGCCAAATTCTGGAGGGATCAGGTAGGGAGAAAAATATAAAGTGTGAAGGAAAATCCTTTTCCTTCTGATATCTACCAGGCTTCTTAAAACTTTCACTTCCACAGACCTTCTGCAACATTCACAAACTCTCTATTCTTTTTCATACACTTTCTGATATCCACCAAGATTGCATCTTCATGCCTTATACCTTCCATTACTAACACACACCACATAATTCTTTCTTAAAACATTTACTTCCACAGACTTTCTGCAAACATTCACAAACCTTCTAATCTTTCTTTCATACCCCTTCTGATATTCACCAAGATTGCATTTCCATGCCTTATACCTTCAATTATTAACTAACATCACATAACTTCTTTCCTAAAACATTTACTTTTCCATTTATCTTTACAGTTTCCCATTTACATTCCTAGAGTGTGAAGTTTCAACCTTCCCTGGAATCCTCAATTTCCTTTTCAGAGCAGATACAGAGCAAAATCCATCCTTCTCTGTGGGGGGTGAAGGTGGGGCCTCCGTGATCTGCTCACTCAATTTGCACACCGTTTCACTGTCAGAATCAGATTCATCATCATCTAGCTCTGTTTTCTTTGCCCAAATGAACTCGAGAGAATCCCTGACAAGCCTCCAGGTTACAAAGGTGTGTGCACCAATAGATATACCACTGTTTTGCAAAGATTTCAACCTTTCACCCACTTTTTCCAAAACATCAATGTCTAACGTCCCTCTATCAGGAAATGAAGGACAACATTTTCTTATAGATTGCAAAAGCTGCACCAAATGCTTTTCTTTCTTATACTTTGTTATACTTTCTTATACTTCCTTATACTTTGCTTCTTTAAGAACTTGTTGTAATATACGCAGAAAAGATTTCTGCCCTTTAGATAAGTTACAACCCATGTTTACCTTCCTTCCTTCTTTTTTTTTAAAGAAAAAGCTTACTTTTATTTACTTTTAATTGGCCAAAACAAATCACCTGATTACTTTTTTCAAGGCAAATCTTTTTTTTCCCCAAACTTGAGAA